ATAGATAGATAGATAGATAGATAGATAGATAGATAGATAGATAGATAGATAGATAAGTAGGTATGTAGGTAGGTAGGTAGGTAGGTAGGTAGGTAGGTAGATAGAGCTGTTTGAGTCAAATTGGGCTCGCTAGAATGGGCTGGGACATAAAAAACATGCTAAAACGATACATCTTATGTTAAAGTCTAATTGCACAAATTAAAAGGCATGCCTTTGCTGAAAAGAAAATCGTTTAACCTACTCATTAAATTAAATGCGTTATGTAGTAACTACTGATGGAGCCTCTGGAAACTTCAAGATAAGGAGCATTGTGTGGAAATCTTGCAAACATCATAAAGAAGCAAATGTTGACAATGTGCGCTATGCGTAAGTGTTTTAACACAGGAACTGGTACGTAAAAAGGACAAGCAATATAAAAAAAGTTAATTTACAGCTGTGTATGTCCAATCATGGGTCATTTGGATGACTTGAGCGATGAAAGCAGAATCCTTTAATTAGCTGTCCTGAAAAGGAAACGTCTCTTTGGTTTTTTTAAACTCTTAAACCGAGTAATATTAGAAATATCCTTTATACAATGTTTTATTACCCTTTCATCGCCCACTGCCCCACCCCCTTATAAAAACATCGAGACAAAAAAAAAAAACTTCTCATCCTCCCCCTAAAAAGACTAAACAGATCACAAAAAAACTACAAAAAAAGGTTGCAGGTTACGGCAAATGCTCTGGTTCTAAGACACACACATGGGTTGTACTGGAGGAAGGGGGGGGGGGGTTAAGAAGACCCTCACTTTATATTCTTGAGTACCCTATTCACAACTAGCTTTAATGTTGGCGTTTCCAGGTAGCTGTTTCAGCTCGTCTGCGTCTGTTGAGTCACGCCTTACTGAGGTAAAGCAGACACAGCTGTTTACAAAATTATTCAATGCGTTGAAAAGAGAGCCAAATCAAACTACATGAGAGGACAAATAACAGCTCTGTAAAGTTCATGAACGTTGGCGTGACAGAGGAATGTGGCGGAAGTGCGAACGTGCAAATGGAAATAAAACAAATACATCACAGTTTCGTGATTTTAAAACACAAGGCTGTCGTGCAAAATCGATCCATAAACCTTAGAACTTGACGAAAATAAAGCTTGTTTGTTATTATTAGGGAAGGAAAGGGGGGGGGGGGAGGGTGCACCAAATTTGAAAAAACAAACAAACAAAACAAACCTACCGTTATTTTCAATAACAACCAGGCTGCAAATATTCTCTATGGGATATCCTATTCATTCAAACTATGACCACAAAGGGCCTGAATGGATGAGCAGAGGCGAAGCGTCTATATAATCAAATAATCACTGCTTCCCTTCCTAATTTTGAAACATTGTCGCAGTCAAATTCACCCATAAATATAAAAAGACGTTCATAATCACCAATGAACAATAGACTATGCCTAACCTTCAAAACCGTTTCATTGCCACAGAAATAGCCTGTTCGCCCCTATCGGGCCACTCCATAAGCTGTCACAAGCTTTGATTAAGTAAGCTTAAAGTGAGGCTGGAAGAGTTTACCAAGAGAGTTGAAGGGAACATGTGCATAGCAATCAAAACTGTTTCATTGCCGCATATACCCTGTTCACCCCTTTCGAGCCACAGGTATAAGCAGCCTCACTCGCTGATTATGTAAGCTAACTATTACACTGGTCGAGTCTACCTCACAGATGTGAGGGGAACTAACTCCTAATAATATCTTGACTGCTGCGAGT